AAAAATTTCATAAACACGTGGAAATTGAACAACACACTTCTGAATAACCAATGGGTCACAGAGGAAATGAAAGAAATCAGACAGTTCCTTCAATTAAATGACAATGACAATACAACATATTGGAATCTATGGGACACAAAGCAATCTTATGAGGGAAATTCATAGCAGTGAATATGCATATTAGGAAAACAGAACGAGCCCAATTAATCTGATTCTGAACCTCAAACTTCTAGAAAAAGAAGAGCAGGACAAAAAGAACATTTTTTGGTAAACATTTGATGCACTGTATGACCTCCCTAAAAACTAGATATAGCTCTACATGTATAAAATTCTGGTACCTGCTGAGTGACTTTGTGAAAAGATGCTAGGCACAGTCACTCTTCCCTGTAAGCATATAATCTGAGATTAAACAAATACTTGTTATTTGTATATGAGAAATGGTTAGGGCCTAGGATTTAGCTCAGTGGTTCTGGCGCCTACCTCGCAAGCGCAAGGTCCCGAGTTCGATCCCTGGTACCAAAAAAAAAAAAGTTAAATATTAGTGTCCAGTATTATAATAAAAATAATCTCTTCAAAAAAGAGAAACTAACTCAAGCTTCTCAGATAAAAGAAAAACATTTAACAAAATTCAACATTTTATTATAATAAAACTGTCAACAATTTAAGTATGGAAGTAATGTACCTGAACAAACTAAAGGTCACATGTGACAAACACACAGCTAACATTGTACTGAGTGATAAACAGTTGGAAGCTTTTTCTTTAAGATCAGAAACAAAACAAGGATTTCCACATTTACTCCTATTCCACATACTACTGGAAGTACTAGCTCGAACAGTGAATAAGAAAAAGAAATATAAAGATTCCAAGTGAGAAAAGACAAATTGTCTATGTTTACAGGTGATATGGTCTTATATGTATTGAACTTAAAGACAGTACACACACATACACACAGTGCTAAAACTAATAAATGAATTCAGCAAAGATGTAGAATACAAAACCAACATACAAAAATAGGGTACATTTCTATTATACTAGCATAATCTATCTAAAAAAGAACTTACAAAAATTCCATTTATAATGTTTAAAATTAAAATGCTTGGATGTGAAAATAAAATAATTTACTTAGGAACAAATTTAACCAAGGAGGTAAAAGATTTGTGCACTGAAAACTATAAATTATTGATAAAGAAGAGGACACAAATAAATTGAAATATGTTCCAGGTTCATGGAATCAATATTGTCAAAATGTCAATATTACCCAAACTAACCCTACGGATTCAGTATATTTCTCATCAAAATCCTAATGGCATTGTTTATAGAAAAGAAAAAATAGCCCTAAAATCCATATGGAATTCCAAAAAATCCAAAATAACTAAAGCAGTCTTGACCAAGATAGGCTGGAGACATCACACTTCCTGATTTAAGATTATATTTCAAAGCTATAGTAGTTAAAACAGCATGATACTTGCATAAAACATATAAAGCATATAGGTCAATGAGATAGAATAGAAATCCCAGAAAAAAACCCACACATAGAAAGTAAATCAGTCTTTGACAAAGACAACAAGAATATCCAGTAGGGAAAGTATAATGTCTTCTGTGTTTAGTCTTGGGAAAGTGAATATCTACATACAGAAAAAAGGAAAGTTTTAGTATAATACATAAAAATCAACTGAACATGGATTAAAGACTTAACTTTAAGTCCCAGAGCCATAAAAACTAGTTAAAAAATAGAAGAAAAGGTATGTGATAGTGTTCTTGGCAGTGATTTTCTAGATATGATAGTAAAAGCACAGGCAATGAAGGCTAAAATAAACATAGGATTACATGAAAGGAAAAAAAGTCTGCACAGCAAACAATCAACAAAACAAAATGGCAGCCTATGAAGTGGGAGGGAAATATTTGCAAACCATATATTCAGTAAAGGATCACTGTCCAAAATATGTAAGCAACTCATACAACAGCAAAACCCTAATAACCCAACTGAGAAATGGTAAAGGGCAGACATTTTTCCAAAGAATGCATGGAATGGCCAACAGTATATGCAGAGATGCTTAACATGACCAGTCATGAGAGAGAGAAAAATCAACTCACAATGCAATATCACCTCATACCTGTTGGGATAGCTGTTGTTAAAAACCAAAAACCTAAGTGTGGGTAAAGATATGGAGAAATGGAAACCTTTGTACACTGTTGGTGGGAAGGTAAATCACTATAGCTATTAGTGAAAACAATATGAAGTTTCCGCAGAAAACTAAAATTAGAACTACTAAACGATCAGGCATTCCACTGCGAGGTTATATCCAAGAGAAAGGAAAAGACCATCTTGAGGAGTTGTCAGTCCTCCCAGGTTCAGTGCAGCACTGGTCACAGTGGCTAAGATGTGGAAAGAACCCGAGAGCCTGTCAAAGGCAAATGTATTAAGATAATGTGGTCTCTGTGTATGTGTATATTAATTAGAGAATATTCTTCAGCCTTAAAGAACATCCTGTGATGAAATCCTGCTTAGGTTTAGGGCCTATGCAACATGCATGGACTTAGAGAATACTATGCTAAGTCTGCAGGTGCAGACAAATACTGCATGATGGCACTTAAATATGTGGGATCTAAGAAAAGCCAAACTTTCAAACAGAGTTAAGAGTGATTACCTGGAGTCAGGAGCTGGGTGAAAAGTGAGGAGATGTTAGTCAAAAGGTACAAAGTTTAACTTCTAAGATGGACCAGTTCTGGAGACCTAATGTGTACCATAGTGACTACAGTTGATAATAATGTATAGTTGGAATTTGCTAGGTAGATCTTAAGTACTGTCATCACGCACACACAACACACAAATTTTTAACTATGTAAGGTGACGGATATATTAAATAGCTACATTGTGGTAATTACTACATAATGTATATATCAAAACACATGGTATACCTTGAATATATACAATAATTTGTCAGCTTTGCTTTAGTAAAGCTGAAAAACAGGGAGACTTTGTGGAGATGGGAAGGGGATCTGGGGAAGGGGGAAAGAGCAGGCAGGAAGTGAAAATGATGAAGAGGTATTATGTATATGTACCAGTTGCCCAAGATGAACATCATTATTATGAATTGCTAACATATACCGGTAAAATTTTTTTAAGATAATAGAATTTCAAGGTCTTATTAAGAAATGTTAAGAGAAGAAGTGGGGATTTTTTCAAGCTTGTAGAAGCAAACAGAAAAATGCAAAAATGATTTTATGTGAATACTGAGCTTGAGCAATTCATTAGCCATTAGCTTTGTTCAAATGCACAATTAAAATGTTAATAAAGACTCATTTTGTGGCAGTAGAGGAGCATCTGGGCTTTTAAGTAACCCTAATGGACATCATAGAATAGAAGGTGTGTAGTGTGCACTGCTGTGCTCTTTTGAGCAACTTTTGTGGTGTGTTAACCTGGCGTTAATGATGTCACTGCCACAACATAAAGAGTACGTTCCGGGAAGAAGCCTTTTCTGTGTAGAGTGGGCAAGCTTTCAGGCAGAGCATACACCTTGCGAGTCACCTGAGGAGCCACAGCATAGTAGGACTGAGAAGGAGATGAAGGCAGCAAATGCCACTGCCTGTCACTCCTTCCTTTTCGGATATGTAACTGATTCCACATATACTTGTTTTCAATTTACAGTATGAATTCAGTCTTCTTATATACATTGTAGACTAAATATTGAAATGTAATAGCTCCTAGAGTCGCAGAATGTCTGTTGTTTAGCAGTTAGTGAATTAATTCACCAACTTTCCTTTTACCATATTCCATTTGGTTTAGCAAATGATAAAGGAGATAACTGTTTTCTTGGTATGTTTCAGGTCAACAATCTGTACATGAGACCCAGGAATTGTTTCTGAAGCAGAGCTCATGTGCTGAGGTGGCCACAGAGAGAACTTCAGCTGCTAACCTTCAGTGCTCCACTTCCCGAGAAAGTTGGGGTTCTGATTGTGTGTTTGAAAGGAAGCTAGCTGACCAAGAGATACAACTCAGGCAAAAGGCCGCTTCTCATAATAGAGCTCTCCCAAAGGAGAGAGAGCACATGTATAACAGATCTGGAAGATGGTTCCATTTGGACAATTCAGAAGAAAGACTTCATAATGGCATTTTGGGTAAAAATTTCAAAAAACCCTCAGTGTTAATAAAACAGACAGGAATCTATGCAGGAAAAAAGCTTTTCAAATGTAATGAATGTAAGAAAACCTTTACCCAGAGCTCATCCCTTACTGTCCACCAGAGAATTCACACTGGAGAGAAACCCTACAAATGTAATGAATGTGGAAAGGCCTTCAGTGATGGCTCCTCCTTCGCCCGACATCAGAGGTGTCACACAGGCAAGAAGCCCTACGAGTGCGTGGAATGTGGGAAAGCCTTCATCCAGAACACATCCCTTATCCGTCACTGGAGATACTACCACACAGGGGAGAAGCCCTTTGACTGCATTGATTGTGGGAAGGCTTTCAGCGATCATATAGGGCTTAATCAGCACAGGAGGATTCACACTGGAGAGAAACCTTACAAGTGTGAGGTGTGTCACAAATCCTTTAGGTACGGCTCATCCCTTACTGTACATCAAAGGATTCATACCGGAGAAAAACCGTATGAGTGTAACGTTTGCAGGAAATCCTTTAGCCATCACGCATCACTCACGCAACATCAAAGAGTACATTCTGGGGAGAAGCCTTTTCAGTGTAAAGAATGCGGGAAAGCTTTCAGGCAGAACATACACCTTGCGAGTCACCTGAGGATCCACACGGGGGAGAAGCCCTTTGAGTGCAGGCAGTGTGGGAAGTCCTTCAGCATCAGCTCCCAGCTCGCCACTCACCAGAGGATCCACACGGGGGAGAAGCCCTATGAGTGCAAGGTCTGCAGCAAAGCCTTCACCCAGAAGGCCCACCTCGCCCAGCACCAGAAGACTCACACAGGAGAGAAGCCATACGAGTGTAAGGAGTGTGGGAAGGCCTTCAGCCAGACCACGCACCTCATCCAACACCAGAGGGTCCACACTGGAGAGAAGCCCTACAGGTGTGCGCAGTGCGGGAAGGCCTTCGGTGATAACTCATCGCGCACTCAGCACCAGAGACTGCACACTGGCCAGAGGCCTTATGAGTGCATTGAATGTGGGAAGGCCTTCAAGACGAAGTCATCCCTCATTTGTCACCGCAGAAGCCACACTGGAGAAAAACCTTACGAGTGTAGTGCATGTGGCAAAGCCTTTAGCCATCGCCAGTCCCTGAGTGTGCATCAGAGGATTCATTCCGGGAAGAAGCCGTATGAGTGTAAGGAGTGCAGGAAAACCTTTATCCAGATTGGACACCTTAACCAACACAAGAGAGTTCATACTGGAGAGAGAGCCTGTAACTACAAGAAGAGCAGGAAAGTCTTCAGGCAGGCTGCACACTTTGCCCACCACCAGCGGATTCACTCTGGAGAGCCATCCACTCACCCCTCGTTGCCTTCTGCATCAAGTCCTGTGGATCTGTTCCCCGAGTTTCTCTGGAATCCATCCTCTCTGCCCTCATCATAGTGTCAAGACATTGTTGTTCACATACAGTCCAGTCGTTTACACACTCATCTCTCTGCTCTTCTGTTTTGGTCCCTGACAAATTCACTCTTAACATTACAGTCAGGCTGATTTTTTAAAAAGCGTAAATGTAATTCACTCATATAAAGCTCATATTGTGATCTGCTCCTGTGGTTAATACATAACATGTGCCTAGGACAGTGCCTCGTCCATACTAAGTGTCCACTAATCTTAGTTCTTTTGAAAAGTTACAGCAGTCTGCTCTAATAAAAAGTGATATTGTCGGATGAGGCTAGGAAAACAGATTTTGGATCAGGAGTGGAGTGCTTGAGGCATTTGAGGTTTTGCCTGTGTTCATTTAAAACTTGATTCCCTTATGCCAAGTTGTATTGTAGCTTTCCGTTCAATCTACCTGAGTGTATGGTGGAAAGATTCAACTTAACTCTGACCTTCGACAACACTGTTAGAAACTCTAGAGAATGTGAATGAGTAGGCCAACTGGAACAAATGGGCTTAAACAACCAGAAAAAAAGTTTTATATGCATAAAGTTAAAACTAGTGACATTACCTAAGAATGAGAAAACTCAGCAGGATTTAGTCCATTTGAAGGCATTGGTTTGTGAATAAATTCTGTTTCACTTTCAAGGACCCATAATCACTGGGGTAAACTGAGCTGGAGCAGTTGGCAAACTCTTAACTCATGGTCAAAGTGTCACTGAATTTTTGTGTGGCCCATTATCTCAAAATTTAAAAATATTGTCAAGTGGTTAAAAATGAATATCTCCAATATAATAGTGATGTAAAATTCAAATTTCAGTGTCTGTAAATAGACTTTCATTGACAGGCAGCCACACTGACTGGTTTGCTTACTGTCTGTGGCTGCTTTCAGGCCACAACGGCAAAACTGAGTAGTCCACAAAGACCACATGGCTCATGGCCAAGAATACCTGCTGCCAGTACCTTCACAGAATGCCTGCGGAGCCTGCTCCAGTTTCCTGAGAAACCGCAGCTCCTGGGCCACATTGTGTCTGCTGCTGGTTTTGTATCAGTTTTATTGACCACAGCCACGCCTGTTGGTTTGCTGTTGTCCTTTTACCACAGTGGCAGAGTTGAGCACCTATGCCAGAGACTGTGGCCTGCAGAGCCTCAGATAGTTACTGCCCTTTTACAGAACATTTGCCAGCCACTACTCTAGAGGAAACATCCAAAGGTTTCTTATTTTATGGAGGTAATACAACTCTTACATCAAACACAAGAAAACAGACTAAAAGTAATTATGAAAAATGAAATTATTAAACAGTATCAGAAAATAGAAAATATGTCACTAAAGGGAGAAATGATTTTTAGACTAGGTACTCAGTATTAAAATGTTTGAAAATTATGATTGGAAAATAGTCCCAGTAGGATACGTTTACTTTGGTGTTTTCTGAAACAACATGTGGAAGCATGAGGCAAGAATATATTTGAAAAAAAATTTTTGCATATGAGGTTTGTAATGCCATGCTGCTATTTCAATACCGGGGAAACAATGTTTTGACGAATTGGCTGTCCACATCTCCAAAATGGAAGAAGCACATTTATGCCTTACAGATAACTATAAGACAGTTGTATTTAACATCTCCAATTATAAAGTAAGAAGTACAGGCAAACAGAAAAGAGGATGCCTTTAAAAGTAGGACATATGGTCCTAGAAGCCACGAAGGCAGAAAATCAGTTGGCCTACACAATTTAAAACCAACGGTCACCAAAAACACGTAAAAGTCAACTGATAGAAAATGTATGCAGCCCATAACAATATGCCAGTTAGGAACAGTGCTATTCCACCTACTAGAAAATTGACAAAGCTGACAGGAGGAGAACTCACACACAGCTGAAGCATTCAAGTGTGTGAACTGTGTGAATTTCTCGGCCTCATGTATCAAGACAAAAGAAAAATACAAATGAAAATTTTTCTTGGCCTTTATGTGGATTAAAGTCAAATTTGTGTAATATCCAGGACTGGTATCCATGGGGGAGACAAAGTCCTTGTTGCCATAAGCAGTGTAAATTTGTCTCCTTCCTTTGAAGATGGTGACCTGGCATGACCTGTCAACATTCCGATTGTGTGATCCTTTAAGACAGAAATTCCAGGTCTAGGAATTTTATCCCACTGGAATAAAGAGGTGTATATAATGTTTACTGAAGAATTTAAAAAATTATGACAAATAGGGATTTGTGTCCTGCCAAGCAGATTGCCTAATTATGGTTGCTTAGTACTGTATTGTACAGTTAGCAGAAACAGGGTGAGCAGTATGCACACTTCTGTGGAGAGTTGTCCATATGTTAAATGAAATATGAAATTTGCAGAACCATATGTGTACAATGTAATCTGAATACATGTGTGTGTGTACCCACATGCACAAATTCAGGGTATCCGTTGGAATGTTTTTGTCTTTACCCCACATGCTTTTTTTTGCTTGTTATGGGGACTTTTCCTTTCTTCACTATGCGTTCTGGTGAGCTGTCAGCCACATATGGCTCTAGTTAAGCCAACCAGATCTTTCGTCTTTTGTATTTTGATTGGAGATACAGGGATAGAAGCAGGACCAATATTCAGATTCATGAACCAATACAGCCATGACACATGTTTATTTTTAGTCAGTGTTCACTGTGACTGGCTAGAGCCCTTATTGGAGTCGCTGTTAAGTATATGGAATATCACTCCAGGCCTGCACACAGTTTGAATTGAGGCATCCTTTGGTAGCAACATAAGATTCCTGCATCTGTCACTGGGATCCGTTGAAATGATTCCTGCTTTGCCACATCCTGGTTTGTTCAGTTCTTGAAGTTTAAGGTGCCTGGTATTCTTCTAGTGCTTAATTTCTGATTTAAAATTACAGTCAAGTTCTTTTGTTCTCAGCCAAAGAAAGCAAACAATGCAGAAGTTGATACTAGAGGGTGATTGCTGGGCTACAGAAAACCAGAGTAGTAAGGATTGATTATAGAGCCAGATAGATCAAAAGAGCGAAACTCCTAATGCCGTTTTCTTCAAGGGAAGGATATCCCTGATATGGCAGGATCATAAGTCCATTGTGCTTAGCGGCTGATGGCACCTATAAAAACTATAGGTGATGGGTAATGCTATCCCCACATGTATAGGTGAGACTCATTTGTAATGAAATTGGATAATTGAAAGTAAAATTTCAAGGATCTTTATGATTGTTGGGAATATCTCTTATTGGTTCTAATTGTGGGGCTACAATAGCCAAAAACCAAATACATCAGTAGAATCTGAGCTGCGATGCTTACCACACCCCCAAATTTGCCACTTCTGTTAAGTCGCGGAGTAAAGCTGTTACGGATGATTTCTCAGAAATCTGTGACCCCCTCCCCACCCCTTAAAACCCACTCGTAACACTTTCCACACTTCCCTTGTGACTGAAAACCTAATTGTCCCTCAACATTATTGCTTACTCACTGAACAAAGAGTTTAATAAAACCTGTGGTGTGAAACACAGAAAGGTAGGTTAGTTTCACCCAGAAATATTTAATACCCTTTACCAGTTAAGCCATCAAAAATCGAGAGAACATTTTTCGGAATGTATTTGAGTTAATTATTTTGCATAATGTATAAGGATTGGGAGAAACCAAGGATTCACAAAGTTGGGTCAGATCATTTATAGTCCATGTCTGTCACTCTTTTCCAAATCCCTTGAGGGCTCAGCAGCCCTTCTGTGTCCTTTACACAGAAGAAGCCCCAGCATCTTCAGAAAGGTCCCAGGGCTTCCTCTTTTTGGCGCTGAGACTTCCTGTGAAAGGGACACTTTTGGGAAGGATACCTGGTATCTGTAGAAGTATAGTATTTGTAGTGGCTGAATTACAGAGCAGCAGTCAACTATGAGAAGGAAGTGAAATGGTCATAGTAAGCTCAGAACTCTAGAAGTGTTCTGTTTTCTGATATTCCCCTCTAATAATCCTCAGAGTTGAAAATGCACTAAGGTGTTGTATTAATTAAAAATACTCCATAGGGGAAGGGGGGTTATCTCAGTGGCAGAGCTTTCAGTCCCCAGCACATGCACACACATGCACACACACACTTCACAGCGTGGCACTGAAGTCTCACACTTATTGCTGGCAGCAAGACTGGGCACTCGAGTGGTTCCAACTAAAATCACAGAACACTTCCATAGGGATTTCTGATGCGTTGTATTAATGCAGAATGGGCCTATTGGGGAATTCTTATCCAGGTCCAGAGACCACAAGCCCATGTGGGCATTTACCCAGGTTGCAGGCTTTTCTTTAATGGTGTGTCTGGGTGCTCACTGGGAGTTCGTGCTTCCTTTTCTGCTGTCTGGAGTTGGTTTTGTGATGTGGCTGCCAGTATATCCTACATTGCCCAGCCACACTTGTTTCCATTTGTGGCTAATTGATTACTTTTGTTCACCATGGGGTAAATAAAAATGATATGTCACTATGGGCTTTGTTATTTGCAGAAGGATGTGTTGTTCAGCTGGGAGAAGAATCTTAACTGTATGGTATGCCAAAGCTAAAAGATGGAAAACCTGTGTCATTAAACCACTACTGGGGGAAAGCCCCCAGTCAACCAGGGACATCAGCAGCAGGTTACTGTGTGGTGAGAAATAAATGTATACTGTAGTAAGATTTGATATTTGGGCTCTAATTATAAAAGCTTCTATAGTTGTAATCCATATGGTATCTTTGATAAACTCTTTTAACTCACTGAGCATTGACTAAGAGTTGCGATGGTGTGTTAGTTATCTATTGTTATGTAACAAATTACCTTTTAGTAGCTTCATGTGCTCTCAGAATTTAAGGAAAGAAGCCAAGCATGGCCTGGCTGGGTGCCTGCGGCTCAGGGTCTCACAAGGTTGAGATCAAGGTGGCAGCCAGTGTTGCAGTTATCTGAAGGCCATTCTAGAGAGAATCGGCTTGCAAACCCACGTGGCTCTTGGTAGCCTCAGCTCCTCTCTGGCTTTGGGCACATCAGTGCCTTCCACGTGGGCTCTCTGTATGGCAACCTGTAACAGAGCAAGTGACTTCCTTGAGAGAGAGCAGGAGAGGGGGCCCAGGGTGGAAGCTGAAGCCATTTTTCCAATCTAATATTAAAAGTGACATTCTTTCATCCTTGTGTTTGGTTAAGCAGAAGTAAATTCCTAGGTCCCGC